TCTTCTGGCGCCCCCCCCCCCCCGTTCTTCTTCTTCTTAGCCTTTGCTTCGTGGGGTGCCACGTACCCTGAAAGGCTGCAGGCCGTCAAAGGTTCCTGCGTCGTCATTCCCTGCACCTTCCATTTTCCCAGCACCGTGACGGTCACGGCCGCCGGCATCACAGCCATCTGGTACAAGGGCCCGGCGGGCCAGCGGACCGTGATCTTCCATTCAGAAAATCCAGGCACGGCCGAGGCCCAGTTCCGAGACCGTGCAGAACTGCTGGGCAATCCTCTCCAGAAGAACTGCACTTTGCTTCTGAAGAACGTCCGAAGCGAGGATGGCTCCGAGTACAACTTCCGTTTCGAAATCAGCGAGGGGAATCGCTGGACCGAACAGAGGCCGGTTCAGCTGACCGTCCTCGGTAAGCCTTAAGAGGTAGGGTTCCCTCCACCATCTCCCAGGCTTTAAGAGCCGTCGGAGCAGCCCTGCAGCACCCACCCATCTTCAAATGGAGGGAGGAACCCAGCTGTCAAGTCACCGTTCTTTATTCAGTCACCGTCAGTCAGGAGGTAGTAAGGCAAGGATGATCCAAACGTGGCCTGGACCCATTTTTTAGCCAAGGGACTCCTCTTAGATGGGCATCTTTAGCCACTGACAATCTTTATTGCCCCCCAAAGGTAAATTACCATGCCTAGTAGCTTCCAGGACTAGTATTTTCCTGTGAAAACAAGGCTCAGCCCCTCTGCACGGTGTCCCCCACTCCTGGGGTACCACAGACGAAAGCAGTGTGGGCTTCTAGCCATTTCTGGTGTTGACGTTTTGTTTTATTTTGTGGATTTTCCAACTGCTCAGGGCAGAAGCAGCCTGCAGTGTCTAAAAGATGCACCACATTAGAGCTAGCCTAATAAGCTTTAAAAAAAAACAAAGAAACAAAGAAACAACACTTTGCTTCTTCCTCTTCCCCTCCACGGGGGAGCAGAGGAAATGTTTAACTTCCCAATATTGTGAAGTGGCTAAGCTGTCTTCTTAAGCCATTTAACGATATTGAGGAATTGAATCGAAAATGGAATTGACAGCCACAAGCCCCACTTTGGTTGGACCTCTCAATGATCGTGCATGTGAGAAAAGGACCAAAATGGAGCCATCCTGCCTGGGCCTAAAAAAAATTTTTAAAAAATAAAAAAGAGTACCCCCCCGACAAGCCGCCAGAGGGGTGTGGGTAGGAATGTCTGGGGATGGGCTGGTTTACGCTGGCAGTTACATCACCGGGTCACCAGCACAAGCCCCACTTTGGTTGGACCTCTCAATGATCGTGCATGTGAGAAAAGGACCAAAATGGAGCCATCCTGCCTGGGCCTAAAAAAAATTTTTAAAAAATAAAAAAGAGTACCCCCCCGACAAGCCGCCAGAGGGGTGTGGGTAGGAATGTCTGGGGATGGGCTGGTTTACGCTGGCAGTTACATCACCGGGTCACCAGCAGAAGGAGCGAACCACCCACACACACACACACCCCACAGCAGATGGGC